TAAAGGGATTTGTGAGCCTCCTGACTCGGGTGCTGGAAACCTCTGCAAGAGGAGCATGCACTTTTAACTACTGAGTCATCTCTCCAGTCCCTAATATTTCTCTTAAAAATAATATTTATTCTATTCTGTAAAACATGCCTAGCTCCTGCAATTCTCCTTTTACTCTCTTAAAAAGAGCAAACTAGCCAGGTGAGCGTGGCGCATGCCTTTAATCCCAGCACTCAGGATGCAGAGGCAGGCAGATCTCCGTGAGTTCGAGGCCAGCTCAGTCAACAGAGTGAGTTCCAGGACAGCCAGAAATACACAGAGAAACCCTGTCTTAAACCTCTCCACCCCACACCAAAAGAGTAGGTTAAACAGTAAAGGCTCCATTGGTGTGAAAAGCTAGGGTAATTAAAGATATTTGCTTGGAGGAAGGGAACATTAGTGACTACTCCAAAATATACAGATATTAATATGTCTGCTGTGATCCTAATGTTTATGCTCACTCACCCCTAATTCATGTTGAAATCCTAACTTGCCAGATGATAGTATCAGGCAGTACGGACTTGACGAGGTGATTCGGCTGTGGGGACATTAACTCCACGAATAGGACCAGTGTTTTGATTAAAATGAGACCCCTTCTGCTCGCCACACAATGAGAAGATGCCATTTGTAAATGAGAAATCGCCAGACACAGAATCTGCCAGTATCTTGGTCTTAGACTCGCCAGCCTTCAGAACCGTGTGAAACAAAATTCTGTTGCATGTAATCCGCTGGCCTTATGGCATTTTGTTGTGTGGACTATGGCAGTGCATCACAGTTTATCTTCCCTGAAATCAAGCATGGGAAAAATCACTCTGTGTCAAATCCTGTCTCTCCATAGCAAGGAAAGAAACATATGAGAGGACTATCTAGATCAGCGACACTGAAAAAAATATTGTTGCAGTAATTCCTTAAGTAGTTAATATTAAACAGATATGCCAATCTCAAGTCCCATCATAAAATTATTCAAACAGATACCTCAGTTTCCCAAAGAGTTTTTAATATTCAATTTTAGGATAGAACAGAAACCATATCTTGTATACCCTCCATCTTTCTGGAAAAATCTCAGCTATTGTTCCCCAAATGAGACTTCATATTATGGCTTAAGACATCAAGAGGAGATTTCCCTATAAGCAATGATTAGGGCAGAAAAATGTCAGACAGAAAGGTAGTTTTCCGCTTTGAAAATATCAATTCTGGAAGACAAGATCCTTTCCCCTCCCCTCTTTTTGTTCAGTGATGGGGATCATGCCCAAGGCCTCAAGCATGTTACAAGAACTCTGCTGTAAAAAAAAATAAGGTAATGAAAAATTTATGACTTTTCATAGTCTCAACGTCATATCATTGTAGAATTTTAAGTATGATGTAATAATTCTGGAGCAAGAAAAAAAATGAATATTTTTGGCTCTGCAAAGGTATAATAACCAAAAGTTTGTAGAATGGATGAAACTGTTAAATCTGTAGCAGATAGAAGCAACGTGATGAACCATGTATGGTAGAGAGACTTGCATTCGTCATTTCAATGTCACTGAACTGGCAATATGGCTCAGCTGGTAAAGGCACTTGCCACCAAGCCTGATGACCTGAGTTAGAAAGTTGTCCTCTGTTCTCTGCACACCTACTATGGTGTGCGCATGCATGCACGCATATAAACAAATACATGCAATCAAAAAAATCACTGTCATATGTGTTCTAGCCATTTGATGCTTAGTGTAACATTAATGGCACAAAGTGTGATGGTCCTGAGAATAGAACATTTTTGGATTAAAAACTATCTTTTGTGTTCTGACCTGTTTTGTCTACATTTTCATATTCTTTTAATGTCTAGGCAACTTATCAGCCAAGAAAATAAAGACAATGTGAATATTCTGTTTATATTTTATAATAGTTTAACATTTAAAATTATGATTAAAAATCAAGTAGATTAAGATCAATGTTCTTCTGGTCCCCAAACTCTCCATGCATGGCAGAAGGGTCTAAAATAAAATAAAAGGAATCTCCAACCTCCAGTCTTCTGAGTTTGTTTCTCTATCACTATTGCATGATAAATAGGGAGCACCACTTGGAATATCACATAAAAAATGATGCAGAGACCACATCAGGGAGCATCTGAGAGAGGGGCTTGGCTGACAGGTATACTGCTATACTGAAAAGGCAAGAAATAAAACCTGGCAAGGATTGTATTTTGGTTCTTCAAAATGCACTTTTTATTCACTTTGACACAGATGATTTTTTAAACAACTGGGACAAAATATCTTATACACGTTTTGAGATGGTTGGCAGCACCTGCCACAAGAGGATTGTGGGACACCTCAGGATAAAGTACAGACGGCTGAGGCAGGTACAAAGACACCTGAAATTCACCAATCCACTGAAGACATGGAACCTGAGGCCCCCTGAAAGCCAATGTGACAAGAAACTAAATATAAATATTTTGTATGGAGTTTTAATGGACTATTGAAAAACAGTATGCTTCCAATTACAAGTACATTATTCCCAAAGTCTAGTGTTCAGTAAAAAACACCTATTGAAAATATTCCACCGCACATTCTACATACAGTCAATTTCAAAACACATATGCACAGTTCCTGGGACCACAGATGTCAGGTTTTGGTGGGGTTTTTTTTAATCTTACCCAAACTACATGTCAGTACCCACTGAGTGTTACTCATCAAAATGCCACTGTTTTGTCACTTACTGCTAAGTGCTTGACATTGTGATGTAACTTGGTAGCTAAAAAATAAGGCGTATGTATGGCTACGAAGAAAGGGGCTTCAGCTTACCTGCCAATCAAATTAACACTTGCCTCAATGGACAGGATGCCTATGAATTGAATCCCCGTGTACTATTAGTTTTACTCAAATGACCACATGCCACTCTACAGAGACAAATAGTTTTCGTGAGCTGATGGAGATCTTCATGAAGGCCTGAGATCTACAAATAGAAACTAGTGTAAGCAGAGTGCAAGAAGAAAGAGAAGGCCCCGGTCTCATGCACTTAAAAACAATTACCATTTGTTAGTTCTGACATACAGAGTTTCACCCTAACGCGATTGTTGCAAAATGACTGGAGAACATTGAAACCAGTGTGGCTAGCTATAGGCATAGGCAGGATAGGGACCAATATTTAAGAGTTGTGGGGGTCCCAGCTCTGGCTTTGACTTCTGGCATCTAAATGAATTGGACAATAGGGTCAGGACTATACAATAATTGGAAATACTGAGTAAGTCTGGGTTGAAATGCTGTCCTCCTCTTGTCTATGTGGCCAAAAAGTACCAGAGTTCTTAAAGCACATAAGGTCCCACATGTAAGGCTGATTCCGTGTGTGGCTACAATGGAGAATTCTGGGCTGTCTTCCTGTGAATGCTCCCACCCCATCCCGGGCCTGAATCTCTTTTGGGGGGGGGGTCTTTTCTAACTGTCCCTCTCTACAGTGGGTCACAATTTTTATCATACATGTTTAAAGCATAGATTAAAACCTATGAAGCTCAACCCAGAAAAACCAAACGACACACTCATAATACATTAATATATATTAATTATATAATAATATAATTGGCAGTCGTGGTATTCAAAAATTGTCAAACCATTCTTTGACCATTGTGTCTTTGGAATATTTCTATTAGTGGTTGTTGTTAAAGGCTAATCCCAGAATGGCTTGAGGATTTTTATGGCCCTCTCTATAGTCTTAACTATTGTTTTCAGAGAAATCCAAGCAGAACATGGCACTGACGTCGTTTGTAAGTTCAGAACTTAAACCTGGAGGAACCTTATACCAAACATGTAGCCAGTACAGAAATTCTTTTTACAGTATTTTAACAGGTGCTCATCCAGGGACTACTTTTCCTGGGAGGGAGGTCACAATTAAGGCAGTCTATTTCACTTTTGAAGAAATCTAATAATGAGAAATTCATTCTAACGCAATGTTTATAAACCTCTGCTCTGTTGCCAGTTTTAATGTCAGACTTTGGCCAGCTGAATCGTCCGGTGAGACATCAGATCCTTCCCCTACAACGCACAACTGAGCGAAGGAAGTTGGGAGAAAAGCCCATTACTCTCCAATCTTTTCTGGAGCCTTCCTGAGCCAGCATGGTGAACCATAGGATCGTCTAAATTGTAGGCAGAGAGCACTGCACCCAAAGTCACATACTAAGTAGCATCACTAAATTGATAAGCTGTCAAGGAAGCAACATCTCTATGCAGCAGCAGCAGCAGACTTAGGAAGGAAAAGCAGGCCAACCAAGTATTTGCAGAGGGGGTTGGCATAGTTAAGCGTAATCCATTCGCTAGTGTCCTGTGACTCAAACACATGGATTAGAACCAAACTCCAGTGTCATTAGCGCAACGCTTACTGGGATGATTTTGCTTAGGTTCATATGAGAAGAAACCATACGTGAGGATTTGAACATGTCAGTGTGTATTTTTATACATCTACATTTCTAATCATCACCACCTTTTATCTAATTCATGCTTAGAAATCATTGCTTCCATTGTTATTTTTGCTGTAATACAGCTCAGAATCTTATTTTTCCCTTTGGTAGAAATGTCATAAATTGCTTGGCAAGAGTCTGGTGGTGGCATCTGCTAGCTACTTAATGGAACACTTTAAGCTCTTTCACTCCTTCATGCGGCTGGGTTCTAGGTTTAAACTGTGATTTAAAAACATGTAAATCTCTCAGGACTAAAATCAGAAATGTCCTGAGACACACAAGAAGGGGAAAATAGCAGAAATCACGCATAATACACTTGGCTCAATAAAGCTTTTTTTTAACTGCTCTACAATTTCAATTTGAAAGGTTCTGTTTCAAAAGTAGAACCTTATCTTTTACCCTCACACGCACGCACATGCTTTTGTGTGTGTGTGTGTGTGTGTGTGTGTGTGTGTGTGTGTGTGTGTGAATACCACCAGAGGGCACAGTAGTTCTTACGCTACAGACTAACCAACTTACTGCACACTTTTGAACAGAGTCCCTACATCTAACAGCATGAAGAACTTGCTTTGGAGCTACTGTTCAAATCAACGGTGTGGCCTAGCATGCAATGTTCCAGTTGTTCCTCTACAGCTAAAACCTGCTTAACAGCTTCTTCAAAGGCCACTGTCACATTGGTATCATCTTTGGCACTTGTTTCTAGATAAGGATAATTTCCATTCTCCATGCACCAGGCTTTTGCCTCCTCAGTCGTCACTTGCCTATCCTCTTTGTCTACCTTGTTACCCAGAACCACAAAGGGGAAATGCTCCGGCTCCTTTACATCCGCATAGTAAATGAATTCTTTTTGCCAGTTACCAAGGTTCTCGAAACTCTGCCAGTCATCCACACTGAACGTCAGCAGGCAGCAATCTGCTCCCCGGTAGAATGGTGTTCTAAGGCTCTTGAAACGCTCCTGCCCTGCAGTGTCCCAGATCTGAAGTGTCACAAAGCGTCCATCTACCTCCAGATCTCGATTTAAGAACTCTACCCCAATGGTGTGAAAAGCCTGGGAGTCGAACTTGTTGGTCACATAACGGTTCATAAGTGAGCTTTTCCCAACTCCACCATCACCCAAGAGGATGACCTTTAGGAGAAGGGATTTCCCACTCATTGTTGCAGCACCAAACAGGGAGAAGTTTGCAAACAAAAGAACCTGAAAATACATGAAAGGGTAGGAAGGAAAATAGTTAAACCTGAGACAAATCTACCTCATAGAAATTTCCCCTGAATTATAAGGCCCCTGATAATGATCTTACATGATCACTACTAAATTTAAAAAAGGGAAAGGAAGAAACCTCTGTTGACAAAATAGGGAAACCTGGCCTAATTTTTTGAGGCTTCTTACCTGGGCAAGGGATGGCTGAAAGCCATGAGTAAGCCAACTCATAGATGGCTCCATAATTTGTTCAGGTGTGACACTGTTCTAGGGGAGAGAACCTAGGACAGGTGTGCCACTCAAACGCGTGAGCATATTAGCTTCTAAACGAGATACAAATGCAAAACTTATTTGAGGTTTTAATGTTTGCTTCTTGGGGACCTAACTGTAATTGGAAGGTATATAAGCTGTATTCTTGATTCTCTCAGTCAAGACCTGGGTAGCAATTAGACTGGACCCATATTCTTGGAAAAGAGAAAAAAATCAACTTTCTCTAAGTATTTCCTCCCATTATACTTGCATTGAGATGGATACTCTAATATTTCATATTTTTTCTTCATGGTACAATGACACTTAAGTTTATGACAGTTGACTAGTATCAATGTAACAGGTATTATCCGAAAAAGCACCTTATGGTATTCTTGAATTTAGTTTTTATTATCACAAAACCAATATATGAAAAATTATGATAAAATCTAAAGCACCAATAATCATCATGTAGCATTTTTCTTTTACCTACATACAATATTTATACATGGGCAACTTAGAATACATGTTAAAATAAAATATTCTGTTAGGTATTGTCACATTGGGTCTATGCTGGAAACTCAACAATGCTGATATTAATTGGGTAAAGTAATATTTATTATGCAAGAGCCTCAAAAGAAGGAAACCTAAATACTGATCAAAGAAGTGCATGCAAAAGAAATTCTAACAGCAATACACTTAAAAGGTCATTCAAAACCGTAATAGTCCTTAACATTATTTTGGAATTATTTTTAAAATTATAGTCACTTTAACAGAAGAAAATGTAAAATATCAAAATTCATAGCGTGAGCTCATGAAATACTTACCCAGCTGGGTTTTTCACAATTTCAGCCTTCTCCTTTGTCCTTCTTGTTGATTTATTCTTTTATTAGGGTTCTAAAATCAGAACGGGGAGCAAATTTTTAATAATATATAATGAAATGGAAATGAGTCTATAGAAAAAAATATATTCAATTCAGGGAGAAATCCCATAGCAATCTCAAGTAACCTGTGGGGAATCCTCACAAACACACTTAAAAGTTCAAACTGTTACAGGTGTTTAACATGATCATTATCTAAATGTGTAACTTCAATTTACCCTAATCTGACTGTACTCTGTGTGGTTTTTTTTTTTTAAAAAAAACTGTTTTGTGTTGTCTTTCGGCTGAATGCTCTATTCAATGTAAAAGTAAATAAAAGCAAATAGGTGATATTCCAAGAAGTAAAATTTGGTAGCGTGAAAGCAGAGAAGTTTAAGATAAATCAGAGGCGACTTTCCTTCCCTTTATACCTACCAATAGTCCCACTTCAAAAACCACCAGTGCACCCACCCATCTGCCTTGAGGCAGCCTGCAATTGATTCTCATAATCAGAGGAGAAACCATTAATATGTTTATGGACTTATACTTTCTTAGCTAATTATTTGATTCATAGTTGATGGTATCAGTCTTGAAACCAAGGTTTTGGTTGGTTGGTTTGGAGACAAGTTCTCTCTATATAGCCCAAGATGGTCTGGAGCTCACAATGTAGCTTGAGATGGCCTGATTCTTCTGCCTCAATACTCCTGAGTGATGAGATTACAGGTATTCACAATCATGCCTTACTTGAACACAGGTTTTAATATTTAGCTGTCCTTACTACAAACACATTCGCTTAATATTAATAGTTAATTTGGCATATATTTATGAAGCAAAAACTAAAATAGTGGTCCAAAAAGACAAATAATTCCTATGCTTGTTAAGTATGTTTGTTGAGGGATAAAGAAGCTGTTTAAAAAAACAGCTCAGTTGTTTAATTATCTTATGTTGTTTTGCAAAGCTAATCAGGTATTTGTTGACTATCTAAATCAGTAGCTAAAATGGAAGCCTCATCTCCTAAATTGCTAAGCTTTATCCTCCTTCTTAGGCTAAATCTACTCTGTAGAATCTTAAATTTTCTACCATTTCTGTTTGCTTGATTTTTGTCCACACTTTTCTGCTTTCAAATTTCTGTCTTTTTGGAACTATAGCTCACGTGACAAATATTTCTTGAAATTATGGTGAACCAGATTTGTTAGCACAGTTTTTTATTCTCCTTTTTGTTTGGCTTTGCTTTTGATAAGCTGGAGAAGGCCAAAGGACCTCAGTGGGCTAGGAAAGTCTTCTACCACTGATCTATGGTAACACTTCATACTTTATTTTTAATGTTAGTCTGCAATATAATTTCACAGTTCAAAACTCTTCAACTCTCATTTTTAAAAGCAACATAAGGAATTAAAAATTTGCATAAACTGTTATAAATGGTAGATACCAAACAAATTTCCTTAAGTATCTAGAAAACAGATGTTAACGCCATTATAACTCACTAACTCATTTTCCTAGCTGTGGATAAACTCTTTAGATAGGCCAAAACCACAGTGAATATGGAAACTAAATGCCCAGCTCCAGGAATAATGATGAGTATTAATGACAATCTGAGAATTCTCTAGTTCGTAATGTGCACACATAGTTCTAGGTACATAAACTATATGGTATGGGGAAAAGAGGCAAAATAAGGTCCTCCTTGCTGTTATACCATTCCTTTGTTTTGTGGAGTTATTAGTTCCTCCTTGTTCTTTAGCGTGGAACATCTGCATGTTGCATAGAGTCTGTGTGTTTAAGGGGTCTTCAGGATCTTCTGGTATAACCCTTCTACTGATGTTTGAGAAAGAATTGAGTACCTACCATGTGCTGTACCATTACCAAGGGGATATTCTACACCAGTGATTATCAACCTTCCTAATGCTGCAACCTTTGAATATAGTTCCTCACGTTGGGGTGACCCCTCCAATGCCCAATTGTTTTTTTTTATTTGCCCAATTGTTTGGTTGCTACTTCATAACTGTAATTTTGCTACTATTTTGCTACTATCGTAATGTAAATACCTGATATATGCTATATGACCCCTTGAAAGGATCATTTGACCCCCAAAGGGGTTACAACCCACAGGTTGAGAACTGCCACTCCACAGCTCCACATTCTCCCCCATTTTCAATGCCCATTTATTTGCTAAAGATAGAAAGAGACACAGTTTAGGCTGGTTTTCTTGCCCTTAGTCATGATATCCTGCTGACTTGGCTTCAAATGCCCATTCTGACTCCTCTACTTCTAACTCCATGTTAAAAATTAGAATCCTGCTGTGTTGCCCAGGCTGGCGTCAGGATCGGGGTCTTAGACAATTTGGTAGACTATTTGAATGCACTGAGTTTGACTCTCCGCACCATATAAAACCAGGCATGGTGACAGATATGTATAACTATAGCACTCAGGAAGTGGATGCAGGAAGATCAGAAGTTCAAGATCATACTCAGCTACAAGAGTTCAAGTCCATTCAGGGACAATAGGATTTGCAGAGAGGAGTGAATGCTTGACAGGTATAGAAAAGAGATAAGGGTGTGCTGGATGTGAGAAAAATCAGAATGCATTCTAGAGCTGTAGAAATAGTCAATGATCAAATTTAATAAAAATTATTTGGGAATTTTGAAAAGGAAAATAAAATATTTTCCACTAGTCCTTTATAGTAAAAAAAAAACAGAATATGAAAGTCCCCAGCACACAGAAATGGTTAATATTTAAGGAAATGGAAGCAATTATAACCCTTCAATCATTACATATTATATATTTGTATAAAATGATCATATTATGCCCCCAAAATAGTCCACCTTTTATGTCTCGATAAAACAAGTTATTATTTGCAGTTGATATTATCACACTGCTTGATGTTGTTAACGGACTTCTTTAAAAAAAATGTCTTTCCTTCACAACTGATTTAAAGGTCCTCTGCTTGTGTGTATTTTTGAAGCCTCTTCAGTATGTGGTCCCAGAATACATCATAGAAATAAGCAATAAATATTTATGATTTAACATATTAGGTAGGTACCCAGAACTAATGCCTTGGAATTTATGACAACAATCCATCCACGATCCTGTAGGACATCCAAAGGTTATCACATACAATGTAACTAAAAATACAAATTATGAATTTATCTGGATTCCTTTCTAAACAGGACTTAACAAATTCCACCTGTTGAAAGTCCATGGAAGCTTTCCATTTCCCTATTGCTACACTCACATCTTAAAATATATATTTCCTACATTATCTCTATTCCTACCAAAACAAGAGGAGAATAATGATATCCACTTTGTTTTCAGTGGATGCTGTCATCCCTGTTATTATGTTCGAAGGTGAGGATAATTTATGTTAGTGCATATTCAAATTGAAAAGAGCCATGACAGTATAAAAATCAATTAAATCAAATCCCCTCCCCCAGGAAAAGCCAAATTTGGCCAAACATAGAAAGGAGAAAGCATTAAGCAAAGAGAGGACTTCTTGATAACAACAAATATATCTAACGTGAAGGTGAAATTCAGTGTGGTTCCCATATTATGCTAGATCTGAACCGAATATTCATTTTTCTTTTCTTTCTTTTTATTTTTAATCCCTGGGAATCAAACCTAGGGCACTGTGCCTTAAACACTAATCTACACCTCCAGTCCTTGGACCATAATATTTATTCTAATTTTGGTTCCATTCAGAGAAATAGCTGGCTTTGACTTAAATGTTGTCTTGAATAACAAGATGAATCAGGAATTCATAAAGCCAGTATTCTTAGCTCCCTATTCTTCAGTGTAGTTGAGATCTTTTGAATCAGCTATGTTTGCACCCACACAGCCTTCTTAAGATTACGGTATTTAGTTGGGGGTGCTTGAGATTGGGAGCAGAGAGAATAAAGCAAGGAAAGGTTGAATCTTTTAAAATAACGCATTTTATTATGATGATGGCAGCACCAGCTCATTTTCCATGGGGTAGAAAGACGCTCACAATCAGTAGCGCAGGTTGTTTAGGAGCAAGTCTTGACAGGGGTGTGTACTGCAGGGCTTGGTGGGGGAAGAAGGGGGGGCAGACAATGGCTGAGAGTGGTATTCACGGGGGAGGGAACATGCTTGGAGCTATGAGGAAAGCCCATCTTGTGGAGACATGCTGATTAGGGCTATTCAGTTGGCTGTTGAATCCTGAAATATTATTCAGAAATACTGCACCAGAGAAATGGGTGTGGCTTTTTTTAATGTATGTGAAAATCAACACAAGAAAGAAATGATTGATCTTTGAGACCCTCTAATTTAAATGGTGTAGGTTGGTTGCTTCCCATACAACCTGATGCTGAAAAGGGGGCTTGTTTTACGGCGGGGAAGCCCTGTGACGCACTCAATTTACTTTGCAGAGTTCAGTTATCAGCTACACCCATGCTACAAAGTCTAGATGCCATAGCTGTCTGCCACCGAAATGCTATTCCTAACTTCATGCTGGCATTTACATCATATATGCAGCCAAGTGTTCAGCGTGGAAATGCATGTCTAATCTTTCATTCCTCATAACAGTTCTGGGCCAATAAGCCCAAAGACATACTTGATAGGAACTTGGCACTGTCCCCAGGCCACGTCTTCCTTAATAGGGTGCCTGGAAGTAAAGGTTTTCAGGACACTAATAAAAGGTCCTTAGGAGACCAGGAATGCTGGCATAGCCACAAGGGGAACACTGCTTCAGTATTGGGAACTTAGAAAGTGAAACGTCACGCATAGTCCCAACTACCTCAGACCCAGGTCCTCTCACCTCATCCCCAGCTCCTAGAGCCAGTGGACTGTGGCGCATGCGCAGTGAACCACACCCGCTCCCCACGGAGCCCTGCGCCTCTCTGCCCCGCTCTGGTAGCCACTCCAGATTACTCAGCAACGCCCCCCTCCACCGTCCCCTACCTCCGACTACAATCTCGGCAGCTTCTAGGCCCCTTGACTGAGGGGCCAGTGGCCCCGGCGATGACCTAAGTTGCCCTTTCTCCCTCTTCCCCACAGGCCCCCCACCTCCTGGCCTCCCGGGTCCAGCAGCCCTCGCCCCCTCTTCCTATCCCCATGCAGACACCTTACCCAACACAATGGGAAGGAGAAAGGACAGGGCTACCGATGCCGGGCAGTTCAGTTCTGCGCGCCTCTAGCCTGGCTCCTCAGCGACCAGGTCACAGCTCGCGCTGTCGCCTCGTCCTCAATGGGGCAGCAAGTGCAGCTTGGACCTTGGTGGCCTGACAGCTGCCGCTCGCTCCCGCCGCTGCAGCCGCGCAGCGTCTTCTCGCGCCCGCGCCCGCCAGGGGAGGGGGCGGGGCCCGCGCCGCCTCCCCGTGCCCCCTTCTTGACGCTGGGGACCCACTGTAGCAGCCTCCTGTAGGCTCTTGTGGAGAGTGTTCCCTGGCTGTCTTGCACTTCCTTCTCTTCCTTCATGCTCAGTTATCCAACCCGGATCTCCCTCATCTTTCTTCCCCTCCCAGCTGATTAGAAGCCACGGTGACAATGGACCATCAAATAACTGCTCTCGCAGCTTAGCATCTCTTTTGCCTAGGGCCTAAAGTCTCAGGCAGAGCTAGCTATAGCCTCATTTCCTGCATGACTCTTCTATTTCCCTCACTTACCAAAGGAACACACCGTTAACAAACGGTGTTCTTTTTGTATCTGCGTGTTCTATTTTGTTTTCGTGCCTAGAGGTTAGTACATATACCTTGCTTCAAATAGTTCAGGAAAACACATGAAAACAACACTTTAGTAGGCCCTGTTGGTACCTATTGCTCAAGAAATTCCTATGACGCTTCAAAAGAAAAGCATGATATCTGTAACTCGGTCACAGAAAAGACATAGCCCTTTATGCCTCGTTATCAATTACTGTTCCAGAGAATCACAGACAGCAGTACTCGAGGTTCCAGGAACTATTACAAGGGTAGAATTCAATGTTCTAAATAATCCCAGCCACCCTATAGGCCCTCCTGATTTCCTGTGGCCCTCTGATATCTTTGGCTACTTTATGATTAACCCACCTCTCTTCGGCCTCAAAAACCAAAGGAAGGCAAAACTATTCAAGTAATTTACCCTGCGTTCCATCTATTTTTCAGTTATATTCATGTCTTAAGCGTCACTGCCTTCTGAACACCCATTCGTCCAGAAATGGTATGGCACTGCCCTCTCCCACCGTGTGTTCCTCACACGCACCATCTCTCCATCCCACCGTGTGTTTCCCACACGCACCATCTCTCCATTCCACCGTGTGTTTCCCACAAGCACCATCTCTCTATCCCACCGTGTGTTCCTCACACGCACCATCTCTCCATCCCACCGTGTATTTCCCACACGCACCATCTCTCCATTCCACCGTGTGTTTCCCACAAGCACCATCTCTCTATCCCACCGTGTGTTCCTCACACGCACCATCCCTCCATCCCACTATATGCTCCTCACAAGCACATCTCTCCATCCCACTATATGCTCCTCACACGCACCATCTCTCCATCCCACCGTATGCTCCTCACACGCACATCTCTCCATCCCACCGTATGCTCCTCACACGCACATCTCTCCATCCCACCGTGTGTTCCTCACACGCACCATCTCTCCATCCCACCGTGTGTTCCTCACACGCACCATCTCTCTATCTATGCCACTGTCTCCCTATCTCTTCACAAGGCACAACAATCAGTCTCATCAAGACTCTGCTTAAATGCAATTTCGAAGAATAGCCTTTCTTTGAAGGCTTTCTCCACAAGCCCATAATGAAGACAGTGCCTCAATTCACCTCTTATAACCTCTTGTAGCTTGCTGTACTTTTATTTCACATCACAATCATATAATGTGACTTACATGGTTTACAACTGTCTCCTCCACTAAACTATAATGCACTATGGGTTCAAATACTGTGATTAAGTTCACAACTATATCCCTTAAAGCGAGATGCATATTACACACTAAGAAACTATTTATTAAATATGAATGAATGAATGATGTATCATCAATAAATGCTGATATTTTAAAATAAATGGATCTAATAGAATCCCTTGTATGGTTTAAACCCACCTCACTTCTCACAAAAGCACACTACTCTTGGGATGGAAAAAAGTACATACCATCCTCTAAAGTAATTTTTACTGATTCTAATCTTCAAAAAGGAAAATTACTGAAAAAAATACTTCTACAGCTTGAGTATGGTTCATCCTTCAGTGGTTCATGTGTTGAAATTTGGTCCTCAGTATTAGGGCAAGCCGGGCGGTGGTGGCACACGCCTTTAATCCCAGCACTCAGTATTAGGGTAGTAGGACCTTTAAGAGGTAGAGCCTGGTAGAATGTCATTAGGTTCCAAGAATGGACCCCTCAGGAATGGATTAATGATGATCTCACAAACTGGACTGGGTCTCTCAGGAGTGATGCTACAAAGTAAGGGCACGCCATGGACTTGTCTCTGATAGGTCATTTTTTTGCTTCTTCATCCAGAGACCTCTCATCAAGATACAGGTGGCATTCAATTTCTCTATAATGGTTGATCAAAACAAGCATCTTCACAAGTTTCACAGCCTCAGATATTTTGGTATAGGGGTACAAAATGGATTAAGGTCTAAATATTTGTACATAAATATTTAATCTGTATATGTGTGATATTTGTAGATATATACTTTATGTTTACTATGTGTTATTTTATATATACATTATAAAACACACACACTAAAAACACTCAAACACAGAAATTGTTAAAGAAAGGAAAAGTAAATATTTTGATGTTACAATGTTTATTTTCTGAACTATAATGAAATAGTTTCATGAAGAGCTCTAAATAAATGTCCTTATTAGAGTTTCTTCTTCAGGCATAATAACCTAGACTCCTTTGTTCTTTTCCCAGAAATGTTGTTTTCTGACAGTTTCTAACAGTCTTTAAGAATCTTTCGAACCTACATATAATTGTTAAAGGCTTTTAAAAAAAATTCTAGCCTTAGATACCTAGTTCTGTAGTCAGGATCTCATGACTGCTAAAGACATTACACCGGTGGAAAGCCTAAGGGAGAGCAAGCCCTGATGTTAATCCAGAGACTCCTAAATACAAATTCTATATTTAAAAACATTTATATAGATCTTATAAGAAACAAAGAAGTAAATTTTCTTAACACTGAACTATGCAAGGAATTCTTAGCTATGGTACCAATGATAAGAGATAGTGACTCCTTCAAACTGAAGATAACCTTTATGCTTCCAAAGGCTCATCAAAGCTCCCTCTGAAATAGCAACCTCAACAATACAGAGACTGATTTGTACAGCATCACCAACAAAAGGCTTAAGGCCTGGGCTTGCTGACTACTTTGTATCATGTAACACTGCTTCAATTTTCATATTTGTAAATGTGGGAAATAGTAAGACTGTGATAATCATATGGACTTCTCCACATACGCAGAAGCATCTTGGACTTGAGTCCAAAGCATCTGGGACTTGAGTCCAAGGAATCAAGAAATGTTAGTACTATTAACATCATGGAAATATGTCTTGGACATTAAATTTGCTATGCTTTGGGAAAAAATAAGACACTGTCAAGGGGCTGGGGTGATAAAGTTGATGGCACAAAAGGGCACAAAAGCACGAGTGGCTAGAATCAGATTCCCAGAACCCATGTAAAATGCAAGGCATAGACCATGGCAGTGTGCATCTGTAACCCCAGCAGTGAAAGTCAGAAACAAGCAGCTCCCTGAACTTCATTGACTAGTGCACCCAGCCAAACTGTTAACTCCAGGCTTAGTGAGAGACCCTGTCTCAAAAAGTAGTGTGTAAAGCAACCAAGAAAGATACTTGAGTTCAACCTCTGGCCCTGACACACATATGTGCACACACTCACATTAACAGAGAACTGCACACACACACACACACACACACACACACACACACTAATAATAATAATAATAATAATAAATCTTTTAAAGTTTACTTCTTTCTCTTATTTTTATTTTTAAAAAGAAAATAAACATCTTTTTTTTATTTTACATACCAATCCCAGTTCCCACTCCCTCTCCTCCTCCTACCCCAACCCCATCCAATCCTCAGAGAGGGTAAGGCACATTGCTTCGGGGAAGGTTCAAGGCTCTCTCCATTATATCTAGGCTGAGCAAAGTATCCATCCAAAGATAATGGGTTCCCCCCCCAAAAAAAAAACAGTACAAGCAGTAGGGATAAATTCTGGTGCCACTGCCAGTGACCCTGCAGTTTGTTCCAGTCATGCAACTGTCACCACATTTAGAGGGACCAGTTTGGTCCTATGCTGGTTCATTTTCTATTTGGCTGGAATAGTGAGCTCTCGTTAGCTCAGGTAAACTGTTTCAGTGGGTGTCCCCCTCATGGTCTTGACCTCTTTGCTCATATTCTCACTCCTCCCACTCTTCAACTGGACTTTGGGAGCTCAGCCCAGTGCTCCACTGTGGGTCTCTGCCTCTGTTTCCATCAGTTGCTGAATGAAGGGTCTATGGTGACATTTAAGATAGTCATCAATCTGACTACAGGGTAAGGCCAGTTCGGACACCCTCCCCTTTATTGCTTAGGGTCTAGCTGGGGTCATCCTTGTAGACTCCTGAAAATTACTCTAGTGACAGATTTCTTGCTAGCCTCAAACAAAATATCTCTTTTCTAGTTCTCCATCTCTGTCCTTCCTCCATCTCAACTATCCTGTTCCCTCAAGTTCTTCTCCCTTCTCCCCTCCTCCTCTCTTTCCATTCCCATGCTTCCAATTGTGTCAGGAGATCTTGTCTATTTCCCCTTCATGGAACTTGCTGAGCATGGTAGCCCATGTCTTTAATCCCAGTATTTGGGAGGCAGGAACAGATGTACCTCTATGAGTCAGAGGCCAGCCTGGCACATGTACATAATTCAGGCAAGCCACAGTTACATAGGGAGGCCATGTCTCAAAATAAATAAACAAAAGAACCTGAGGTTTAACTAAATAAATAAAAAGAACAAGTTGGTGAGTTGGGCAGTGATGACACACACCTTTAATCCCAGCACTCGGGAGGCAGAGGCAGGTGGATCTCCATGAGTTCAAAGCCAGCCTGGTCTACAAGAGCTAGTTCCAGAACAGGTTCCAGGCTCAAAAGCTACAGAGAAACTCTGACTTGAGAAAATAAAACAAAAAAAGCAAATAAACTGAGTATACTTTTTGTCCAAAAGCTGTACAACAAATTAAATTCACGATAAGATACCATACCACACCTTTTAGAA